CTAAATGCTTTTTTATATTTTTACATTATTTGCTTTTGTGAAGCGCCTCATGATTTTTATCTTGAGAGGCGCTACAGAAATTATACTTTCTTCTTCTTCTTTACAGAGACATCGACCCATCGGTTACAGACGATGAAGGGATGAATTATCTGTCTCTGAAAGCAGACAGAACTGATGTTGAACATTCTTACGGAGAAACAGAAGACAGTTTATCCACTTTGCGAAAGCCAGAATATGAAAGCAGCAATGGTTTTGGCCTGGAGATAGCAACTAGTCTACTCAGAGACGTTGAACAATCGGTTTTCCATGAAGAGGATTCTGGATCCCAAACAAGTCTCTCTGTGGCCCATGAAGACGCAGAACCACTGACTGAAAAATCTTTCTTTTTTTTTTCCTTTCTTTTTTTACCGTGTCCTGTCTGGCTGTGAAGCAAACAGAATTGATGTCTGAATGCTGGTAACGAGCCTTACAGATTTACTCTCAGATGGAGCATCTTTCTGATTTTACGTCAGTTGAAGTAACTACGCCAGATTTGGATGTGTTTGACTCAATGGGGGAGGATGCTGGTCTGTCTCTGACTACAGAGAGGAATATTTAGGAGAATCAGGCTGGTCTTTCCACAATTATGGAGGAGAACTTTGGGGAGAATGATGAAATATCACTTTCTTTAGAAGAAAAGGAGGAAATGTCTCCTATTGATGAAGAATTAGAGGAAATAGACAGTGACACATCTGTTTTTTCAGAGGAAGAACTGAGTCAGGGTGACACATGTGCGCTCCAGAGGGCCCTCAGTTGACGCGCAGGTGCGGTCATAGAGATCGGGGTCGGCCGGTGGTGGTGCGGGGGGCGTTCGGCCCCCTCGTCGGTGGGCGACTCGCCGGCCTCGGCTGGGGGTCACCGGCGCCGGCTGTAGTGGAGTGGGATCGGTGATGTCGTCGGCCCCCCCTTCGGCGGGTGGCGTCCCCACCGTAAGGTACTGGGCTTCGGCTGGAGTCTCAGCGCCACCATCAACTCCCCCTTCGGCAGGTGGTGTTCCCACTCCAGGGTGCGGAGTCTCAAGCCTGATTCATGCTTCGTCAGCTCCGCAAGGGACAGACGCGCACGGATTGACGGAAGCGTTTTGCCCTCATACTTCTCCGTCTCCTGGAGAGTGTTGCAAAGCAATTGCCCGGCAGGACAACAGAGGGCGTAGCGCTGTTCTGTGGTATCCTGTCATGTATCCGGTCCAAGATAGTGCGTTTATATTGTGTTTTTTTGTATATAAGAGACTTCTTAACACAGATTTGTCTCTCATCCTCCTCCACCTCTTCATGCGCTCACCACCTCTAAACCCACGTTTTCTGTCATTTCCGTCCACAAATAAAATGCTTGCTGCGTATCTTTTCACTCCTCCAGTCACGGGGGAATTAAACGTTCGTTTTTAGAGTTTTTTTGCGAAGTATTCTTCAAGCTTCTCCGTGTCTGCCGCTAGTTATCCTCGGCTCTGTTTATGTTTTTGAGGGCGCAATGGCGGCGGTGTCGATGACAGCGGCGTAGACGACAGCGGCGTCCTGACCAATCACAAGCTTGCGTTGTCCGTCTCGACTGATGGATGTTTAGAAAAGAGAGCTCGACTCCATCCGTCCTTGTGGAGCTCTCCGGCAGGCCCGCAAGGACCTGACGCAGACGGAGAAGCATGAATCAGGCTTCAGGTGCAGTGCCACTGCAACTGTCAACCTCCCCTAGGGCAGGTGGTTTTCCCACCCCCGGGTGAAATAATCCTGTTGCAGAGATGACACAGACTCTGTGGGTGTCATTGACCTTGGAGGTACTGGACAGACTGGTCACCCTGGCAGCACCGTTGTAGTTAACAACACCCAAAGAGGGAATGACATGCAGCAATAGGCCACGCGTGCATGGCTCAGTCTACTCGAAAGGCACATCCTCAGACTGAGCAGCAATGACAGGCCATGTACGACCTGAAGGTTGCATTATGCTCAGCTCCGTGCCTGGCGCTTCCTGATTGTGACAAAGAGTTCCACCTTGAGGTCGGGTTCTCATCTAACTGCTTCAGTGCCGGTCTTTATCAAGTATATGACTGTGACAGGCGTGTCGTAGCATATGCTAGTAAGCTATTGTCCGGTCCTGGTTAAAATACTCTGACTGTGAAAAAGCTTTGCTTTCCACCATGTGGGCAGTTAAACACTTTTCCAGCTACATTGGTGGACAGAAAATCATCAACATTGAAACACAACATCGGCCAGTGACCTTCTTTCCACTTCCGGTCGGTAACAAGATGGCGCCTGTGCTTGGCTTAGCCGCAGTCACCGGCCACTTTTTCAAACTTTTCACCACTAACCTCCTGTTTTCCACCTTGCTCCCGTCTGCGATCCTCTTCAGTAGTGTCCCTGCTACCATCTCCTATGATCGCCAGACTCTTTTGTCCTTCCGTTTGTTCACGATCGCCCACAATATTCTGGCTGGTTGAACTCTGCCCGAGTGGTCATTCTTTTCTTAGCCAGCCCCGGGGTTCTGGTCGAGGTGGAGGCCTAGCTGTTGTTTTCAGAGACCATCTTCCACGTAGCTCTACAACCTCTGGTCACTGTGCTTCCTTTGAACTGCAGCTGATTAAAGTCGGGCGTAAGGACCCGTTCTACTGTGCTGTGGTCTATCGTCCACCTGGTCCAAACAGTTCTTTCCTTCAGGAGTTTAGTGACTTTCTATCCTCCACTGTGAAGCTGTCCAGACTGGTGATTGTGGGTGACTTTAACATCCACGTTGATGATCCCTCTGATCGCTTTGCTATGAATTTCTCCAGCCTTATGGACTCTTTACCCAGCATGTTTCTGGCCCCACACACACCAGGGGGCACACGCTGGACCTTGTTTTTACTTCTTATCACCATTGCATTTTCTTTAACTTGTCAGTTTCTGCGTCCCCACCTCCTGCTCGCCGTATGGTTAGTTCTTGTTTTCTTAATGAGAGCATAGCTAGAATTTTTTCTTCTGCTTTTGATCCACCCTGTTCTTCTGATAACGACCCAGATTCCTTAACTTCTCAGTTTAACGAGCACTGCCTCTCCATTCTGGACAACATCTGTCCTGTCAGAACCAAATCAGTTCCTGCAGTGAACCCTACTCCCTGGTTTAATGACAGCCTTCGCAGCCTAAAGCGCCAATGCAGAAAAACTGAGCGCTTGTGGAAGAAAACCCATCTCCACGTCCATCTGCTGCACCTAAAAGATCTTCTGACATCCTTTAACTCTGCAGTCAGAGACGCTAGGGTTTCCTATTTCTCCAACCTGGTGTCCCAGAGCAAAGGGAACCCCAAGGTGCTGTTTAACACCATCAGCAGCATCGTCTCTCCTGTCTCTCCTACATCCTCCATCCACTTTGTTGATGACCGTGAGAACTTTCTGTCTTTCTTTGTGGACAAAGTCAATAAGGTTAGATGTAGCATCTCTCCTTCAGCCTTATCGCTGCCTCTCCCGACTCCAACCAGGCCCATCATCCTAGATAGCTTTGCTCCTGTTTCTTTACCCGAGTTAACCAAACTAGTTAACTCTATGAAGACCTCTGCATGCCCCCTCGACATCTTACCCTCATCTGTGTTTAAAAGTGCTTTTCAGTCCATCGGTCCCAGCGTGCTCTCTATAATTAATGCTACTCTGGTCTCTGGTCAGGTCCCTGCTTACTTTAAGAACGCTGTAATCCACCCGCTTCTTAAAAAACCGAGTCTCGATCCCTCTCTTCATAGCAGCTTCAGACCCATCTCTAAACTTCCGTTCATCTCCAAGATCTTGGAAAAGGTTGTGGCTAAACAACTCACAGCTGCTCTTGATGAACAGAACATCTATGATAGCTTCCAGTCAGGTTTTCGTAGAGCTCATTCTCCTGAAACAGCTCTTCTTAGGGTCTCTAATGACCTTCTGACTCAGTGATGCAGGGGACTGTTCTGTTCTGGTCCTGCTGGACCTAACTGCCGCGTCAGGCATAAACCAACCTTAACCTAGGGGAGGTTGCAGTGGCACTGCACCTGAGACTCTGCACCCTGGAGTGGGAACACCACCTGCCGAAGGGGGAGTTGATGGTGGCGCTGAGACTCCAGCTGAAGCCCAGTACCTTGTGGTGGGGACGCCACCTGCCGGGGGGGGTGGGGGGGTGGGGGGGGCTGACAACATCACTGAACCTACTCCTACAGCTGGTGCTAGTGACCTCTAGACCTGAGGTTGGTGACTTGCCTACCACAGGGGGAAGGTTGAATGTCGCCCTGTACCACTACTGGCTGACCCTGATCTCTCTGACTGCACCTGCGCGTCGACCGAGGGCCCTCCAGAGCGCTCACCTGTTCTGAGACATTGCATTCACCCGCAAACAAACACTTCATATTAGATTCATCCAAACATAGGGTTGGTTTTTTAATACCAAAGTCTTTTTAATATCAAAGTCTTTTATAAATTGTCATGTTTTATAATTGTTTAGTAATAAATTTCTTAACCATCTTAAACTTGACTCTTTCTTGAAATAAACACAGAGTGGGTGTACATTGATCACTGAACAGGCAAAGATCTTTAGATCTTCTGAGTTAACAAATAATCTTTGCTATTAAATTAAATCTTTAGAAATAAATACAATCTTTTGATTACTAAACTAAACTCTAAAGCGCCAGCCACATCTGGAAAATACCTGAAGGGAATGAACAGGGGTGGGGTGGGGGTGGGGGTTCAGAAGAAAATGAACTTTTTTTCACTTAGGAAGTAAAAACAACAAAATCTCTAGTAGAAAGTACATGTACACATACTCTATATGTCTATAAGTTTAGGCCCACTTGGTGACTTAGAACTGAGAAGCTGTGTAGATTTCACAAGCAAGTAGAAAAATAGAAGCAAGAACAACAACAAAAAAATATTTTTGTAAAATTTATATTTTTCTATCAAATCAAATAAAATAGAATACAAATATATACATATAAAATATACATACATATATATAATATAAAATTAAAATAAATAAATAAATAAATTGACATTAAAAAGCCAAAAAAAAAAAAAAAACATCCCTCCCGCAGAATCGCCACCTTATCGTGGTGGGAGGGTTTGAGGACCTCCATCGTCCTGGAAGCTGTGTAGTCTGGTTCATTAGCCCCTGTTAGGGTCTCCATGGCAACATGGTCTCAGGTAGGCGGTCGGACTAAGCATGATTCAAACACCTGAAGATTAGACCTCCGCTATGTGGAGGGTGAGATCGAGGTCTTCCATGTAGAGGAGGCGCTATCCATGGCCAGTCTTGTGGATTATCTGGTAGACGGGGATCTGACCTCTGCAGAACAGCAGTGGGGACAGGGCATCTCCTTGGTATTAGCCAAGTCAGTTAGCCATTCAGAGTGAGTCCCATCATTTAGCAGCTGCATCATTTGTGCTGCCAGGCACTCATGGAGTGCAGTGAGCTTCTTAAGCCAGTAGGCGTGTCAAGTCAGGTCCTGGAGCTGTCCAGTTCTTCAGACCTGAGGCTCTTTGTTGGATGTCTGCCACAGTGATGGATACTGGGTTCTGCTCAGGGAGGTTGCTGTGGTCTTCTCTAGAGAGACTAGCCCCTTTGCATCACTGTTCAGTCTCCAGCCTTAGTGAACACAAACTGTCAGAACACACACACACACGGTCAGAACACACACACACGGTCAGAACACACACACATACACACGGTTAGAACACACACACACACACACACACACACGGTCAGAACACACACACACACACACACACATACACGGTCAGAACACACACACATACACGGTCAGAACACACACACACACACACACACACACACACACACACACACACACACACACACACACACACACACACACACACACACACACACACACACACACACACATGGTCAGAACACACACACACACGCGTATGGTCAGAACACACACACTAATCTTTCCAGATCCTCTTAGGTGTGTTCTTGCTGTGCGTTATTTCTAATTCCATATTGTCGTTCTTTTTTAAAACACAGAGACGGTTTTGTTACATGTTGTTGATGCTACGTTTCGCCGACGGCTGCCGGCTTCTTCAGGCTGACGCTGATGGTGGCGCGTCACTTCCTTCTCCGTTTATCTTTCCAGTTCCTGTTTTAAAGCGGGTTAAATCTTTCTTCAGAGGCCAACAACAAAAATAAAAAACAGTAATTCTCTTAAATGAAAATGTAAAATCTCACCTATTAACTTTCATGCTTTGGAGCAGAAAAAGTGCATAACACCCACAATATCTCAAGCTCAGTTTGCTCCACTCTGATATACTGTGATGCTCACCTGTTCAAACCAGACATCTGCATCTCTGGGGTTGGGAGGAGGGTCCTTCAAGACTGTTGGAAAACCATTTCAGGTGAGAAACTCATCAAGAGCGTGCAAAGCAGTAATCAGAGCAAAGGGTGGCTTTTCTTGAGAAAATGGAAAATAAAACACGTTTTCAGTTATTTCACCTTTAAACTCCACATCATAGGTTTGATGCCTTCAGTGAGAATCTCCCAATGTAAACGGTCAAGATAATAAAGACAGCACATTGAATGTGAAGGCGTGTCCAAACCTTTGGCTTGTACTGAATAAAACAAAGTTTACAAAATAAACATTTGTATTTTTCATTTAACAATTGGCAATTTCAGCCAATCTGACATTAATCAGATGTATTTGTTAAATAAGCAGCAATAAAATATAATTTTTTCTTATTCTGTCAGCATAATAATAACAGTAACAGATGTTCTAAGAGGCGGTTCTACTTGTTTTTGTTGGCATCGAGCCGCTCTGACTGAACATAAACCAGCCACCAGTATGGCGCTGTTTCCTCGTGTAAAACTGGGTTTCTGGGTTCTGAGGTTCTGATCGGAATCTTTGATCTAGTTGACTTCCTGATCACCAGTTCCTCTGTGTGTGTGGAGTCATGCTGGAGTCGTGTTTGAGGTCAGGGCTGGAGTGGGACTTATTTTCTGCTCTGGAGTTTCAGGGTTCAGACCGGTGTTCTCCGTCTGAGAGGAGGGCCAAGATGGCAGCGTGACGAGGCGGATTCTTACGAGCTCTCAACACTAGATGATAATAAGTCATATCTTCAGTGCCTTTTTGACGTTTATCCTGCTTCCAAGCTTCTTTGAAGATTAGTGTGGTTAGTGTGCAAGGCACTATAAGGAACAACAACATGTCAAAATCTGTTCAGGAGAGGTTACGCACCTCGAGCTAACAACTAGTGGCTAGCGTGCTAGCTAGCAACCAAACTATCTAGAAATAAAATCGGACGAACAGCAGATGGCAGAGGACTTTCCTCCTACCAATAACGCCATCCAAACCTAGCCTACCCTAACCCTACCTACTACATCACTAAAGTCAGTTGGTTGCAATATTTTAGGAACCATGACTCGATCTGGACTGGGGCAGCCTACATAAACCCTAAATAAATGCATGAGAGGAATTCTTAAGAACGAAGCTCATTTTCCTTTGAACACAAGTTATGGAAGTGCTTGTCCATCGTTTGCGTTAGAGGCGCCGTTCCCTCTCGTCTGCCTGATTGCAGGGGCGGGCCCCTCCCAAGCCCTGGCCGGGGGCTCGCTGCCCTGAAGCTCCACCCCTGACGTGAAGAAGGAAAGTCTGCCTACTTTGTTGACGGCCGACGTTTCTTGAACGGAGCCGAAATTCACATATAAACTTTAAATCACACCAAGAACCTCAAGTCTTCTCAAACCCTCTAGATCAGGGGTCGGCAACCTTTCCCCATCAAAGAGCCATAATTACCCATTTCCCACAGTAAAGCCGGGCGTACACTGTGCAACTTTTTCACTTTTTTGAGCCGATTTTCCACTCCTGCGAGAATCCACGAGATCGGGGCGAGTTTTGCGCCGAGCATCGTGTAGTGTACAGGAGGTTACGAGAGGCGATTAAAACCACGTGACCAGCTACCGATCAGCAATCGTGAGCTCACACAGACTTCTGGCGTGTTTAATATTTTGCTCGTCCCTTGTGAGGGTATTGCACTGTTGAAGCAGCGCTGCAAGCAGCTGCGACCCAAAATGTATCAGAACCGCTCACGGCGCATGCACAATCCTGCATCAACACCGCTCGCCCGCTATTTCCCTAATAACACGCGTTGTTCGTTTTAATTTCTACACGTTTTTTTTACTCACAAAGATTGTCAAGAAAGCGTGTTTGTCGTGTTCATGTCAAATTAAACTGATCACAAAACACAGATTTACTTTATTTTGTTTTCCTCATCCAACCCGCATAAATCCATGTGTGTCCCCCTGCAGCACTCCCGAAGGACAACAGGCAAAACAAGACAAAAAAAGTCTGACGTGTTGAGTAAAAACTGCTATTTTTAGCATATTTTTAGGTCCGACGTGTTGCTACCAGACGTACAGTGTGAGCAGTCAGGTCGCATCCGAGAACTGGGTCGTGCAGTGTGAGCGCATGACTCGTGAGATCTGCCCTGCGAGGAAGTCGTACAGTTTGAGCTGAAGCTGAGAGCTACGAGTGAAAAAGTCGCACAGTGTACGCCCAGCTTAAAGGAAACACTGGGAGCCGCAGCAGCCGCAGCATTGTGGGCGGGGCCTACCCTCTGACAGCAGAGAGCTGCTTTAACCGATCACAACAGGTGACAGCGACAGCAACCAATACTAGTCGCTCATGTACCTCAAAGTTGTCTTTCAACAGAAGATAATTAATAAAACAGTTTGTTTAAAATTGATCCAAAAGTTGTAGCCCGTCTGTGCTACAATATTTTGATTTTTTTCACCCTGCTAGTGGTTTTAATAGTTGAGCAGGTGACGCTTTTTGAGGCATCACACATAACTGTTCAGAATACAAATCCAGGCTCTGTCTCGTTGGACTGTTGTAATTCAACTTTGTACTGAACTAAACTTTGCATTAAACATTGCTGAAAAGGCAAGAAAAGGCTATTAGTTTTTTCCATCGTTTACACTGACGGAGATAACGGCGCAGTGTGCGTGGCTCTGGTGTTAATCAGGTTTAATGTTTCTGTTTGCAACTATCTTCACTAGAAGGTAAAATGGTTAAATGACAGGATTCGCACTGACCCGATGTTTCCCGTATTTATTTTGACGGAGAAATCTCAAGCCTGCAGATGCGCTGACATTTTAACGCACATCGTGGAGGTAGCTACATCAATCAGGAAAAGATTCCCATCAGAACATCTGAGATGGACACTGAGCTCAGCACAGCTCACTGTCAGCGCGCGTAACGTGGAGAGCGAGCTGAAGATAGATCGGGGGCTTGGAACGCATCACAGAACCAGATTCTGTGTTTTCTAAACCCAGTCTCTCAGAGACCTGACTTTTAAAAAATGTTCCCTGATTATGAATCTTCGGCTGAATAGCGCTTGTTCCTGTCTCCAACACTGCATCCATGAGCCTGTCTGAGGAACAGTCCAGAATCTCCTCTTCAGCTCAGAAAGCTCAGAGACATTTGATTACGCACAAGCAGGTGACCTGGTGACGTTTACGCAGATAATCTTTAAATTTAGAATTGGCTACAGATGAAAACATGAATAAAATACATTGTAATTAAATAATCCTTAATTAGTTTACAAGCAGAGTCTAGGGAGCCGCATCAGATGGATGAAAGAGCCGCGGGTTGCCGACCCCTGGGTTAGAGTATTTTGAGCCAGAGGTTGCACAAGTTACTCTGCTTTCCTTACGGTCTGAGACCACAGTTCCTGTTTCTGTTGTCCCAAGAATAGAGCCATACTCATTTTTACTTAATGCCATTCTCACACTTCCTTCTCTAGGTGGTTGTTAAAGACTGTACCCACTTTCTCTAAACGTTTGCTTATCAAATCACATGTTTCTGCAGACAAAGCAATACAAGCATCCATTTTTTGACAACATCTGAATTAGTGGCATTACCTTGACAAAGAGACTTATGTGTTGTGCACTAGAGTTCGTTTAGTTTTGACATTATTCTGCAGTTCATCAAGCTCCTCAGTTGTACAGAAAGTTTTTAGCCGTGTCCTTGTTTCTCTAGCAAACTCTCTCCCGAGTGTCATATGCCTCAAAAGGCTTTATGAAACATCTTATTTTGTTGCTCTTGCATTTCTTTACCCTTTTCAGTTAGCTCGTGTTCTCTTGAGCTTGTTCTGAGAGGTTGTTTGTCCATCTTCCTCAATCAGAAAACCTTTACCTTTGGTTTAAACTCCAACTCCAAGCCTGGAGTTGGACTGAGTAAAGGACAAAACTCCTTTACTCAGTTTGTGAAGCCTTTAAGGAGGAAGAAAAGAGGGGCAATTATGGTGATTCTGCACCAAGCTGCATCCGCCTCAAGCTGCTGTGTCAACAGGTCCTCCCAAAAGCTGGATGATGGTAGGCTTTCCACTGGCCACTGGTCAAGTTTTCACTGTAGCTGCCCCTGGCACCATGAAGAAAAGAATGGAGAGCCTCGACGGGTGCATAAACTTTTAGTTTCTCTGGTCCAATTCCTTGGACTTCACTCCATGAGTTGCACCGTGAAAACTGTTTAGAGATATACAAAGCATAAATAAAAGGTGAACACAACTTCGATGTCATAACAGAAATAGATCATATTCTCACATTTACCTTGCTCCGCTGGCCAAGGGTGCTAAACAAAACAATAGTTCCTCAAAGCTGCTTTATCTGTAGACTAGGTGATGGACAAGAACAAGAAAAACAAACAATGACTATAGAGTGTCAAACTAATAACCCAAACAAAAGCGTCAATACAGCAAAACTTACGTGGGGATGCAGTCGGCAGTGTACAGCTGAGGTGAATTTAGGCTAAAGACATAATTTCAATACTTCAAACCGTGTTATCTTCTCTACAAACAAATTAACCCAAGCAGTTTTCTCTGGAAGGGTGTGGCTTATATAAATTCTGTGAGCCGATTAAGGGTCATCGCCATCAGCTGCTCAGCTGGCAGCTACACCATCAGGCATATATATGTAACCTAGGCAACGCTGGAGCTGCAGAGCTCCAGCGTCACACAGGGATTCACAACGCCACAGGTGGAGAGCGAGGGTGCAAAACCAGAGGGACAGAGACACCAGAGAGCAGAAGTTTGTCTGCGACCTCTTTTCTTAACTAAATAAAAGCCCCCGTATAAAAATCTACCACTAAAAAGTTTGAGCCCATAAAAGCAGTTTAAAACATGTTCTTCAAAAAGACCCCAAAAGATAGTTGGGCTCCTCCCAGATCCACAACGTCACGTGGAGGGAATTTCCAGGATGGGAAAGGTGGCGTCCCGGCTTCAGCGTCCGACTCCAGCAGTCTCTGGTCTCGCTCTCAGCAAGCACTCGTCTCAGGCGTGATCTCCCGGGGACTCTCGCCGCTCCTCCCTGACAAGGACAGAACACTGGGGCAGAACTTTTGTCTGTGACGCAGTGCAATCTCTTTCTCGTCGGATCGGCCCATACGGCGCGTCACCCAGCATACAACAGAGGAAGCCGTTCACTCACGGATGCAGGCAGAGGTCCAACCTCTGCCCTGCTGTCATTCAAAGGCGTAGCTCCCACTCGTCGCTGCGCGCCAGGGATGAACCGGTCCTCCTGTGATCCAACGCGTTCTGTGCTACGTCCACCTATTAGTCCAGTCCCTCTGCCTTCTTGTTTCTTTGGTCTCTTTTTCCTCTCTCCTCCCGCAGTTCTGCAGCTTCTTCCCTTTATCAGCCTGCTAACTATGCGCACCCGGTGCGCTCTCCCAGTCACGCCCACCTCTTCAGGTGACTGTCATGTCAACAGTGGCAAAACAATCTAAACTAAACAGGCACATAAAACCAACAACACACGACAAAATCATGCAATAACACAAAACTGTTTAAGAAATTCCAACAATTAATAAAAGAATTTAAATCAACAGAAAACACACATTCCACTGTGTGACATCCCCCCATATTTTAACTGTGATAGTCCCTGATACATCACTCCAGTGGCCGATAACGGGCTGGTGGCTGACCAAGGTTAGACCTTGCGGAACGCCAAAGTTCTGGCAGTCCTTCAGGCTGCAAAATAGGCACGTTGGGCATAACACAATAGAATGGAGGCTCAATTACCGTCTCAACCCCCGGGCCTACCTCATCTATCAGTTGGATACTGTCCACTGCTGGGGAGGTGCATAACTATAATGCATTTCGGTAAAGGACTCTCTCTCTTCCCCTTTTCTCTGGCTGCACTTTATACACCACACCTGTATCCCCAACTCTATCCACTACAACATGTGGTTCTGAGGCCCAACCTGGGTGCAACTTTCCTTGCCCCTGCCTGTTCCTGTCCCTAATCCAACCCCTCTCTCCTGGTGCTAATGGCAGAGCCTGTGCCCTTTTGTCATAGACCTTCTTGTTTTGGTTGACAGCAGCCGCCATTTTTCCTTGCTGTTTCATAAGCAAAAGATAATTTTTGGTGGTGGTCTCTAACCCATCCTCCAAGATCATTACAAAGTGATCCCTGTTCCACTCCTAGGTTGACATCCACTGGGTGTCTCAAATGCCGCCCAAACATTAGGTATGATGGAGCGTACCCTGTGGCGCTGTGAACTGTGTTATTGTATGCCTGCAACAGCTCGGGGAGGAGTTCTGGCCACCTCTGCTGTCTCTCTTCCTCAAGTGAATGCAACATATGCAGTAGTGTCTGGTTCAGTCGTTCAACCCCTCCATTTCCAGCAGGATGATATGGTGTGGTTTTACTCTTTGTGATGCCATGACACCTGCATAACTGATACATTAGTGTAGACTCTAAACTAGCCCCTCTATCTGAAAGTAGCCTGGCAGGACAGCCAAAAGGCTGGATCACGAGTCCATAGGGCATGTACTGTCATCTGTGCGGTCCGATCTTTAGTGGGAACTGCCCATGCATAGTGTGTGAAAAGATCAGTCATAACCAAAATATTCTAATTTCGGTCTGTGGGCCTCCCTAATGTGAGGTAGTCCAGGGCCACAACCTCCAGAGGATACGAGACCACAATAGGCTTTAGTGGGGCTCTAGGCTGATCTCTATTTCGCAGGCTACAGGCAGCACAACCTAGATGGAACCCACGCACCTCAATCTCCATCTATAAAGTTATTAATTTAATGCAAACACAGCTAACATTTTTCAAAATATACTCTAACAACACTTAAATATCGGTAACAAGTCCTATTGATATATTAACTAAAGGTTAAAATGACTTTAAGTGCAGAGCGGTGTCACGATCTGCCCCTGCCCGCCTGACTGTGTTCCTCTCCTGCCATGATTACCCTTATTGTTCTCACCTGTCCCTCGTTTACCTGCCCATGTTTCCCTAATTAGCCCTCTGTATTTATACCACCTCTTTTGCCCCTGTCCTTTGTCAGTTCATTGTTGTTGTTTGTTGGTGTTCCTGTTCATCCCATCCTGCCATTAAACCATTTTTACTTTTACTGAAGCCTGCATTTTTACCTCCTGCTCAGCTCATCCACACATGGTCTGCCGTCTCCACCTCCTACACCATGACAGAATGAACTGGCCAACCTGGACCCGTGGTGAGCACGTCTACATCTCCCTGGAAGATTTATTTTTACTTTTTTTTCCCTTTAGCAGAAGGAGATTCTGGCCCAGGGTGTTGGCGCATCCTACCTGTTCTCCGGGGTGGTCAAGCCTCTGGGTGGGTTTTCGGCGCATCCAGTTCGTTTCCTGTGGTGGTCGAGCCCTTCTCCTCTCCTGCTTTCTGACCCCGTCCTGTTTTTTTTTCATGGAAGCTGCGGATCCTGGAGCTTTAATGGAGTTACACCCCCTACGCACGCCACCGTTCTCCGGGGTGGTAGGGCTGGTCTCCCCACTCTTCTCCTGCTTCCCTGCACCCAAGCCTCTTCCTGAGATCCAGCTAATCGTGCCGTGCACCTGCTCTGACCGGCTGTCGAGTGCCTCCCGCCGATCCTGGTTTTCTGGCGTCGCTTCTGCAGATTGCCCACTTCCTGGTCCACGCTGTGGGGCTTATGCCTGCAGGTCTCATGCTGCTGCAGCCTCTGCTGGGTCCCACGCCTGCTCCTGCAGTGCTCTGCCTGGGTCCCACGCCTGCTCACGTTCAGCCAAGTCAAGTCTTCACGTCCAGCCAAGTCAAATCTTCACGTCCAGCCAAGTCAAGTCTTCACGTCCAGCCAAGTCAAGTCTTCACGTCCAGCCAAGTCAAGTCTTCACGTCCAGCCAAGTCAAGTCTTCACGTCCAGCCAAGTGAAGTCTTCACGTCCAGCCAAGTCAAGTCTTCACATCCCGCCAAGTCAAGTCTTCACGTCCAGCCAAGTCAAGTCTTCACATCCAGCCAAGTCAAGTCTTCACGTCCAGCCAAGTCAAGTCTTCACGTCCAGCCAAGTCAAGTCTTCACGTCCAGCCAAGTCAAGCCTTCACGTCCAGCCAAGTCAAGCCTTCACGTCCCGTTCCAGCCCAGTCAAGCCTTCACGTCCCGTTCCAGCCCAGTCAAGCCTTCACGTCCCGTTCCAGCCCAGTCAAGCCTTCACGTCCCGTTCCAGCCCAGTCAAGCCTTCACGTCCCGTTCCAGCCCAGTCAAGCCTTCACGTCCAGCCCCAGCCCAGTCTAGTCAAGTCCCGTTCCAGTCCAGTCTAGTCAAGTCCCGTTCCAGTCCAGTCTAGTCAAGTCCCGTTCCAGTCCAGTCAAGCCTTCACGTCCCGTTCCAGCCCAGTCAAGCCTTCACGTCCAGCCCCAGCCCAGTCTAGTCAAGTCCCGTTCCAGTCCAGTCTACGAGTCCCCGTCCGGTCCCTGTCATGTCAAGTCTTCGAGTCCCCGTCTCCTGTCAAGTCTTCGAGTCCCCGTCCGGTCCCCGTCTCCTGTCAAGTCTTCGAGTCCCCGTCTCCTGTCAAGTCTTCGAGTCCCCGTCTCCTGTTGTATAGCCTTGTGGGTGTCTGGTATCCGCCCTTAAAGGGGGGGGGGGGGGGGTAGGTACTGTCACGATCTGCCCCTGCCCGCCTGACTGTGTTCCTCTCCTGCCATGATTACCCTTATTGTTCTCACCTGTCCCTCGTTTACCTGCCCATGTTTCCCTAATTAGCCCTCTGTATTTATACCACCTCTTTTGCCCCTGTCCTTTGTCAGTTCATTGTTGTTGTTTGTTGGTGTTCCTGTTCATCCCATCCTGCCATTAAACCATTTTTACTTTTACTGAAGCCTGCATTTTTACCTCCTGCTCAGCTCATCCACACATGGTCCGCCGTCTCCACCTCCTACACCATGACAAGCGGCTTCATAGTACACCTACCTCCACCAGCTTTCATTACTACTTTGGTGGGAGGGGCCGTGAATGCGCCTGAAGGACCCGTTGCATGCAGTTGTGCCTAACCACCAGTAGGCAGCTCCAAAACTGCAAACAATCACTGCACATCATTTTTGGTGAAATTCACATTTTCATCTCTGTTACATTCGCTTGACAGCGGGACATCCCAAAGGTCTGCTGTTAAGCATCAGTACAATGTGCCCTGTTGTATGTTGCATATGTGTATGTATATAACTGTAAATAAGAATGTGTGTAAATATGCTTTTATTGTGAAAAGGACAAAAGAGGAAGTGAGGATGACATCATAATTAGATGACCAATGAAGGACATGTATGTTGAATGTGTGTAAATATGCTTTTAATGTGAAAAGGAAAAAAGAGGAACTGAGAATGACATCATAATTAGGTAACCAATGAAGGACATGTATGTTGACCTCTAACCTCATAGATGCACCAATAAAAGGGGAGCATTAGTGTTTACAAAGGTGCTAGTGCCAGTGAAAGCCAATTAAAACAAGAAGTTCTGTATCTATCATTTATTTCCTACGCTCACCTGTTCACCGCTCAGACGTCCTGATCTTCTACCTTCCTAGATCATCCAGCTGTAACCTATTTCTGATCATGTCTTCAGTCCGGCTGTAACACTGATGCATCAGTCTCAGACGTCATGGAGCTCAGGTGTTACTAGAACTACCTGTGTGTGTTTACCACCCAGCTTCAGCTCTTCTGTGGTTGGGTCTGACCCAAGTTAGTAAATGTAAGTCCTCCATCAGGCTTGTGTCTCTTCTAGTGTCATTTTAAAGGATTTTATTTATTTAACCATTACTAGTGTAACGTGAGGAAATATGGGTTTTCTGTCACAAAGGTGGTGTTGGACTCAGCTGGGTCAAAGCTGGGTCGCTGAGAACTTTCACCCACAGATTAAGACCTGAACGCCAGCGAGTCTGGGAGGAAACCATAACATCTGCCACCTGCAGTACCAGAAGAAGGAGTTCTCATGGACAAGTAGTCATAACAAGTCTTAAAACTTTGTTTCTTGATTTTAATGTTAAAGTAATCATTATCATTTTGCTCATTATAAATGTGTTTAATCAAATGAAGGATTCTTATGCTTTGGGTAATTATAATGGATTAATGAATCCACACTTAATTAGATAATGTTTGAGGATGTTTGTTACTGACCTTCACACACACACTCAAACACACCCACACACAGATTCTCACAGTAAACTCCAAAACACATTTCCTGACGCACACGTTTGCTTTGAGAAGAGAAAGGCTTTTGGTAAGTTTGAGTCTCATGATTTCAGTTCGTGCTTGACAACGAAAGAGAGAGGACGTGTGAACAACCGCTAACGGGGGAACGGAGCCCATTGGCTCAATCCCCCCCCCCCCCCCCCCCCCCCCTCTCTCACGCTGTTCCTGCCAAGCCAGACAGGACAGCTGAATCGCAACTTCTAACGCAGACTCATACAGAGTCTTTGATTTCTGAGTGAATTAACTTAAGAAAGCGCATCGACAAAACGCTTTACCATCAATGTGTACCGAGGGCAACTCTGGACCGGTTCCGTTCGACACCTACGTCTCCCCTGTCAGCCGCTGGTGTCATCTGGATGAACCACCACCATCCTCCACGGCCCGGATCCGAAAGAGGGTCCACAAGAGTTCGGTGAGACAGAGCACGGTGTTTAGCGTTTGATGCAGTTCTCTGATAAGACCTAAGTTTATCCAAACCATCACTTCACTCAGACACCTGTTCTTCCTGAAGCAAAATCAGACTCACACACGCATTCATATCACAACATTCTCAATCTTCATAAATTCACCACAAGGTCTATTTGATCATATCAACTGTTAAAGATTGTCCCACAAGTTGCCAATGTTGATTGTTATTCCCATGTTTGTCAATTTCAAAATCATTAGTCTAGTTTGAAGAATTAAAACTTTTAATTTCCAAACTTGTTTGTTCATTGAACTGAAACACAGACACACAGATATTATCGTCAGTTTATCGATGAAAACAACCTTTGAGTCTTCTTAACAATATAAAATTTGGTTATTGATTTATTAAAAATTAATATTCCGAATTAATACGTAGCATGGTTCCTCTTTCATAAAAGAGCCTAAAACCACAACGCTACACTAGATTATCAGCAACAGAAATGCTACTAAAAACACACAATTATGTGAAGCTGGAAAAATTAAAATGCTGTGCAAAATTACATTCATTTCTGTAATTTAACTAGACTGAGAGACCAATTAAAGGCTCAGGAACCTTTACAGGTGTTTTTATTTGCAATTTAAAATTTTAGCTGATTGGGGTCTTGTTAAATATCACACAGTGACCTTTTAATAGTCTAGATAAGTGTAATGTTCCTGTTAGTTCCTCCTGTTGAGTGCTTATTTATTTAAATTATTCAGGTTTATAAAAACATTTGGACATACATTTTATTATGTTCCAGTCATTGGTCATTTATATTTCACTATTGTATTCATTTATAGTAAATGACGTAAGTTTAATTAAGAGGGGAACCCATTATTCTTGCATTATTTAATGAAAAAAGTAACTAAGTAGTTATTTTTCTTGGTAATTAGTTACTTTTATAATCTCGTAACTCAGTAAGTAACTGAGTTACTTTTATG